ATTTAAAACTAGTAATTAAACCTAAAACAGTTCAACTAAAGTAAACGATACAATATAAAAACAGACTATATATCACCAACAACTGAAGGTACATCACCATACTAGAGACCATGGGGATTTTCAGTACCTTTGCTACCTGCATGGACCCTGGCTGGATTTACATCATACCTTCAGCCGTTTTCGATTGTAGTCAGATGTAGCCATAATTTAAAATTTAAAAGATGCTAAAAATTTGGCAAGTGTAAATTTACTGAATGTTTTGGGGCCTTATGTATCCTCTCAGCTGGACACTATTTTTACAGTGCTTCAACCCCTTTGAGGTTACAGCCACTAATAATCGCAGTTGCTAATGTATTCTATCATTTATGATAAAGCAATATTTATCTATTTACAAAACATATTGTTCAAAATGAATCTAATAACTCAATTTCTTTACAAAACATAATTATTAAATGATAATTTATATTGAAAAAGATCTTTGATTGTTTTGACACTGACATATTTATCCCTTTGTGATGGAAAAATCATGCTTGACCGAGATTCTTTAATCACAAGAGATGCAAAATGGAGGATCTTCACCTTTCAATAATTCGCTTATTCGCATAACTCCAATAAATTGGTATCAAAGATAATCATCGGCTTCTGTTTTCTGTGTAGTGATAGTGCAGGACATCCCTTCAGCAAAATCAATCCTCTTTACGTTGAGTCAGACAGGAAATTGCACTTTTCATGACTTGAATGTAGAACTTTTCTGAAAAAAGTGGGTGGTGCTTCATTAACGTTTAGATGTATATATGAAATACAGAGAACATTGCTTTAGATGCCTGTGCAGCAAAAGTCTTACAAGCGTTTGACCATAAAAGGGTGAGGAGAATATTTAACCCTAAGTACTTATAGTTAGTAACACATTTTAGCTGTTTATCACCAAAGTACCATTTCTCGTTTCTCAATATACCTGCGTTTTCTAAATACTATTATATTTGGTTTTTTTTCTGTATTCACCTCAAGACTCCATTTTTTACCAAAAAAACACCTAATACATTCAGTTGTCTGTGTAAACCTGCTACTGTAAATGAAAACATTGTGACAAACAATAGTATCATTATATCTTCAATAGCTTATAAATATTCCATGATCACCTTTATTATACAAATCAATTACAAGTTCATTTATCAAAACATGCGAATAGCACAGGGCTTAAAAACACAACCTTGGCGAACACCACATGAAGTTTCAAATTGTTGTGTGATGCCCTCTTTAGATTTTATACAAGCTTTAACTGATGAATACAAACTCTTCAATATTTTATACATTTTGCGATGACAACCTTTTTACATAACTAACATATAGAGCTTTTTTTTTCCTATTAATGTAATCAAAGGTTTTTCTAAAATCGACGAATGCCACGTAAAATCTACCCCTTTTCTACAGGGATATTTGCTGCACAACCACTGTGGATAAACATATTGTCTACCATAGAATAATCCGGACGGAAACCTGCTTTAGATTCCGAAATCAGATTACTAACATCCAAACAAATTCTTATTCGTGTTTCTAAAACAGACGTAAAACTTTACCAGTAACATTTAACAGCGAGATTCCTCTATAATTCTTCGATTCGATCAGCTTCCAGACTTAAACAAAGGAACAATCATTCCAATATTCCATACTTCGGGAAAGTGACCTGTATCTAATATCTTATTAAGCAATAAATGTAAGTATTTAAAAGCAGTTGTTGTGTCAGCCAACATAAGAAATTCTGCTGGAATACCATCTTCGCCCAGAGCCTTATTTCGTTTCAGCATACCAATACTTTCTTCAATTTCTTTTCTGTGATTTGACCCGATATGAGATCATCAGTAAAGGGCAATTTTTCCAATGATCACAGGAATGAGAATGTAAATAATCGGATACAGTTTTATCAAAGGCATCATTTTCAATTCCTGGTTCAGGACAGAGTAGTGATGTAAAATATGACAACTAGATATCTGGAGAAATACCACTTTGTACTTTCTTACCACATATAAAGGGATTTCAACGTCTTCAAAAAGTTGATCTGTTTGATTGGCATTTAGAAGTTGGTGACTTATAAGAAAGGAAGATTCTTATGGATAACAACTTATTTTTATTATAAACTGACGTGCAAAAGAAAGTACACAGGTGTAATTGTTGTTGCAATCCCAAATATGCGTTCTAACTAATAAAATTATTGAAAAACATTGATTGTATAGAACGCAACCATCATGTTTCATTTGCCAAAATGCAACCAAAACATTTGTACGTGTTTTGCACGAATGTTTTGCAAAATTGTGATTATTGTCCCATGCACCAGCACTTTTCTGACAGAGAGTATAAAACCTGTTTGTCGTGAAGACTGAACAATCACTTGACACAAATCTCACTAGGAAATGCCAAGATTGACGTCGGTGCAACGAGAACGGGCCAAAGGAATGACACAAATGGGTGCTTTCAACAGCGATATTGCAAGGACATTGGGTTGCACAAGACAAACTATAATTCGGCTATTTAATCGTATCAGTACGACAGGCCAGACATGTGATCGACCCAGAAGTGGACGTTCCAGAGTCACAACACCCCAAGAGGATCGCTATCTGCGGGGTTATTCACCTACGCAACTGGATGTTGACGGTGACGTCATCAGAAGCCACATGATTGGGTCATCGCGTAAGCCGATTCACAGTGACAAGACGACTTCGTCCTGCTAGCATGTATGGGCCTACCGACCGCTGCGTAGAATGGCCTTGACCTTCCAGCATCGTAGGAACCGTCTGCAGTGGTCTTCACTACATCGCTGTTTATTGTTACAATGTCATTTTGCTGATAAAACACGTGTATTGCAGTGTGCTTCCACATACATTTTCCATTTCATGGAAGAAACACAACCTGTGTACTTTCTTTTGCACATCAGTTTATATGATGCGACGCTTCGGTATGGATTCTTATACCGTTGTCAAGCAAGAGTGAAGTACTACAGCACAGAACAGACTTATATACATCAACAGGGATTAACTAATAACAACATGTAGGTATGAATCAAGGGGATTAACAACAACAACAAGGCACGGTGGTAATTTTGTAGTGACAATAGCAGCAAGGCAATGGTCCTTGAGGCAGAAACAATATATACATGGCTGATGAGAATAATTAGCAATGATAGCTGGAGTGCTCTAAATCTGTTGTTTTATCAGTTCATTGTATGCAGAAGGGATGAGATATCCCTGGTCTCTGTTGATTGAGGGTTTGTGTCTCTCGAATTTGAACTGCTTCTGCAAGTTTTCTTTGGTGAAGTCCTGGTGGTTTTCGATAATATATAGATGCCACATGAAAACGAACTTTATGTTCTCTGTAATATTTTGGCAGAGTGATTGGAGGGTAACTATGTATATTATCCACTGCCGAGTAATTACTTACGAAACCAGCATGAAATTCATGGATTATAAAATTAACTTCTATTCAAGTTCCAATTCTGACTTCCAAAATAGATGGGAGGACCTTACCCAGGATATTAAACAGAGCTATGCCTCAATGGGCATGGGGATCAGATGATCCTCCTTTCTTAAACAAAGTAATTATCATATGATTTCAAAAATATTGAACCAGAATGGATGCCTTTTCAATAAATCCAGGAGGTATACCACCTGAACCTGATGACTGAACACCATTTAATGTGCGAAAATCTCTCCTCCAGTAATTAATTACGTGAGATAAAACAACTGAATTGTTGCATCTTCTGTACCATGATTTGTAGTGAATTTGGCAACAGTGTCGTCAAATATAGATTGTTCATCTAAATTTCCTGGATTTTATACACCTGCTCTTCATTAACGTTCCATCGGAATTTCACACCAGATACTGTCATTGACTCTCATGCACGCTTTGTTTCATCAATATTGTTCACAAAATAAAACTGAAGCCTGCACGCGACAGGGAGGTGATCGATCTGATTCATTTTGGGATTCTACGACAAAGTCAGATATATACTGAGTGAGTGAGTGAGTGAGTTAACATTTGATGTCACTTTGGCAATATTTCAGCCATATCGTCACTCAATCAAGTTATAGATTAATAAAAAGGAAAAGAAAATATTAATAAAAATTAAAAGGAAAATTATAAAACCTGTCAACGAAGGACAGTAAAACAACTAGATTATAACAGATAGAAATTGAAAACTAGTAACCAGTACTTACATAGTTTTGACAAAATAGAACTTTATGAAACAATGCATAAAGATAGTTCGCTCGTTCTCATGCTTTGCTTCTGAAGGCGATTAAAACGCAGGGAGATTGCTGTATATATTCATCACTGAATTTCTGACCGTCTCACAAGGAATTATAACGCGTGGGTGAACCGTGTATTTTCCAATGTTTCACTGTCTACACGTAGCAAAACTATCAATATGGGATTTGTGTATATTTTACCGGAACATCCCCATTACACGGCATCAACGCACAAGGCTTTATGTAGAGTGTAGGGTATTCACATTGTTAACTGGTTGCATCGAGGGATGTCTTGTTGACGACGAGTCTGATGTTGTCCTACTTCAGCTCGGTGGCATGTATGCGACTGACAACTTTCGTGAATCGCAAGACCGTGAACCAAGTCGATTTGCTGTCTGTTGGACGTGTGAGTGTGAGGTATTCACATTGTTAACGGCCGTATTTCAGGGGATTTAACTGGAGCGTTCCCATATATTACTCATTACGGTACAAGTCTAATAGATTATAGCATTGTATCTTCTAGTCTGTTTCAGTATATATCTGGTACGTAAGTCCCCAAACATTCAAGGTAAATTAAAGTTTTCACTTTTTAATCGTAGAATATGTGTGATTTTAATATACGGCTAGATTTGTCTATATTGTTAGATTTTGTAAATGATTACCCAAGAACAGTGTCATACATTCCCCAATCAATGCGTGCACTGACAATGGTAAGTATGGTTTACTTACCAATATATCCAACTCCAAAACTCAGACAATTACCTGTTTCACAATATGCCCTGATTACAATGAATGTCTTCCGTATGGAACAATAAACTGCCGTTTAACAAGAACGTTGGGGTATACCCTCCTCCGAGAAAACACTTCATCAGTTGAATGAAATGTGGCATGAACACATGTCAGGTTGATGATATGGTCCGTTACCCTGTGCATTGTGCACTGGTGCATGCAAATGTTTTCGTGTGGATGTTATATAACTAAATTCATATGCACAACTGAACGAGAATTTGACATAAACCTCTTTATGCTGGATGGTGTGTTTATTCAGCCAAATCGCAATTAATGGCGCATGTACTGCGTCGCCGTGTATACAGTTGGGTGATTTATTTGTGCTGTTAAAATGAATCATTGTGGCGTCATGTTTTAAATATAATATATTTTACTTGATTGCACTGTGCCAAGAAGTTGTAGTTATAAAACATTATTCGTAACATATTTATGTTTGTCCCTGCATTACCCATGTAGCACGTTGTATCTGATATAACACTTTCTCAGTAAACTACAGATCTTGTACTTTTGTTGGTTTGAGTCCCATCCGCGATGCGAACCCACACTCCTAGAGTCAGGCATCTAATCGCCAGCACACCATGTCAACCATCTAACCCACTTTGCCACGGCAGGTTCCACAAAAATGGAAGTTGGGCAATTGGTAGTCTAGACCACGACCAAAAACTATGAATACAAAATACTATTTACAAAGTGGTCAAATGTATATTTGGGATAATACTTTCTTTGTGCACGTATTGTTACTTATGTGCCCTCTCAAGTGTACAATATTTTAAAAGTACGTTCAACCCCGTATACAGCCACTAGCATCTCGGTTGCTAATTTAATCTACCGTAAATAAAATATAACTACCTATATACAGAACATATTAATCAAATTTGTGCACCAATACCATTTTTTTTTTAAAACAAGAATTACAAACGAACTCATGTTAACGGGCGTGGTGGGCAGCTGTCTGAGGTGTCAGGATAGTGATCCAGCGAACTTGAGGTGCGGGATCGAGCTCACCTGTGACTGGGTGTTAAAACCTTGGAGTCAACTTTCCCGCAGACTCTTTCGGTGTTGTACAGTACACAAGCCTGTGCACTTAAAAGAACCCACGAATCCGTTGGTAAATGACCAGATGGTGGCCACATGAATACGTACAAACACCTAGTTGCGGGTATAGCAACGTGCAGTAAACATGGACAAGGTACTTTGACAATGTGTCCCAGTCCACCCAGCTGTAAATGGGTACTTCGTAAGGATGGGAAAGCTACATTAACTCGGTGCGCCTATTAGCTGCAAGAGTTGTATGATCCTCAGGGATTTGAGATTGGCAATACGATGTGCCGTTTTAGATTGGCATTCAATGATCGAGGGGAAAATGCGCCTTTGATCAGCCGAGCTGGATATCGGCATAATATTAATAAAGAGATCCTTTTATTGATTTTACACTGAAACATTTATTTAATATGATGGAAAACTCAACACAGTCAAGCAGGACATGCTTGACCGTGATTTATTCTGATGTGCTCCTTGACTATTAACCTCGTCATTGACTGTTTCTTGAAACTAAAGCAGAGCATCAGACCAAAAATCTTTCCTCTAAACAGATGCAAACTTTGATTACCATAAAGTCATGCTTGTAAGTGGTCACTGACAATGGACCTTAAGTTGTCTGCCAAGCATACAATTTGTTGTACTGCGTGAAGACTTGTTTCAGGTTCTGGAGTTCGAAGGTAAGATGTTGCTTGGCGGAGCAGAAGCATCATGACCCCTCAAAACCCGAGTAAAGGAGCATCAGACCTCAATATTAAAACTTGATTCCAAACCAGCCCTATCAGATCACATCCAAGACAATCCCGACCACAAGATCCAGTGGACAGAGCCTAAACCCTAACAGCCAACCTCAAAGTCTTAAACTCAGGACACTCCTAGAAGCTATCTACATCAAAAGACTCAAGCCATCAAACGACCGTGACAAAGGTTATTCCAAACCTCCTGCATACTACCAACTCATGAAAGACCCTCATGATCGATAATACCGCCAATACATGTCAAGCTGATTTACGCCTTATTTCCAAGCGTATGATAAACAAATTGCTGGTAATTGGATGTAGTCCCTTCCAATCCTGTTTGTCGTGAGATTATGGTCTCACAATTCTATCTTTCCCCCCGATACCTGACCTTATCAGCTAAAAATCCTTTGACCACTGGTCATATTCAACAAGAAGTCCTTACTACTTACCTTGTGTGTGTCTCTTGCGATGAGGTTTTCACCATCAAGCATATTCTGCAAGGGTGAGTGAGTGAGTGAGTAAATTTTATAGTCACATCGGCAATATTCCAGCCATATCGTGACTTAATAAGTTATAAATTAACAATAATTACAATTACATTATAAAACACCTGTCAACAAAGGACAGTAAAATAACTAAATTATTACAGTAATTAATTTACGACTAGTAATTAAATCTATAAATGACAATAAAATATAAAAACAGGCCATAGATTGCCAACAACTGAAGGTAGATCACCATACTAAGGGTCTGCCAGGGACTCACGCTGTGGTGCAACAAATCTGAAAGATCTGTTCTCCACCGTGAGCGCTCATCTGATAGTGAACTACCCGAGGGAAGTTGATCTGTATGATAACTTGTAACTGTGTAATGTGACTAACAAATTGCCTGCCTTTAAATTTAGTGCTATGCCTTTTTCTGTCTTTAAATGACAATGTAATGAATATATGTTTCTGCAATAACACTCATTTTGACTCTGTACTTACAATGTTTATTAATGCAGACTTGTTCTCGTCACTATATGACTGGAATAATGCCGATGTCACGTAAAGCCCAACTCAACTCAACTTACCTTGTGATTCTTTCGATTTGTAAATCCACACCAAAACACAATTTATGCCATTCTGGAAAGATTTTTAACAGTTGGTTAAGATGGTCTCGACGTAGAGACTATCAACAAGAGAAGTCCCCCCTCCGCCCTAAAAAAATACCCAACCCTACACGGGAAATGAATGGTATTTAACTTTAATAGTAATGTAAAAAAACATCATTGTTTCTATTATAGGAAGTAAAACGTTTGTTTCACATTTATGTGTTATGTAACATCGTGAGGTCCATCAAACAAATTTAAATTCATACTATTCACACTTTCCTAAGGATCAAGTCATTGATTCAACAGAAAACTATGATATGGGTTCTAATTTAGTTTAAATATCTAAGGTTATTGTAAGCATGGATCCTAGGTTTCAGTATGTCATTGCATCTTGTGGATCACACACTTGCTATTGAGAGGTGTTGTGTACTTGGTTAGATTAAAGTGGCTCTTTGGCTAAAGAGAGGTTACCTTATCATTATTTATCTAGTTTAAAGGGATACAATTTCAAATTATAAATCTATGTTTAAGTAAATTTGGGAATTTGATCCTTAGCAAAGTGTGAGAAGTATAGTTTCAATTGTTATCTGAATTCTTGACATAGTGCAAGTCTGATGCTGAATAAATCCATAGGTGAGATGTAGCGTGAAAGGCACGCCAAAATATACGCTAAGAGCACCTAATGTTCATAGCTTGTGTATGATGAGAAACTGTAAAGATACGGGTTAGGATTGATCTTCAGTAACCCATGCTTGTCGTAAGAGGCGACTAACGGAATCGGGTGGTCAGGCTCGCTGACTTGGTTGACACATGTCACCGGTTCCCAATTGCGTAGATCGATGCTCATGCTGTTGATCACTGGACTTTCTGGTCCAGACTATTTACAGACCATATACCTGGGATATTACAGAGTGCAAGATAAAACTAAACTCGCTCACTCACTAAATTTTCATTGCTGAAGGATTGACATAAGACAACTGTTCGTTGTACAAATCTTTGTTTTTCAACTGATAAATAATCTTCCCTATGTCACTGAATACATTTAACCTACAATACAATTCTTAACACCAGGAGGACCTAACCTCTTCATACCCCACAGAATACAGTCACAAGAAGCTTACACCAGTATTCCAGTGTACTGTCTGTGGAATAAGAGCGGCTAACGGCATGTGAGTAACCTACGTGTCACATGATGTCAAATAAGTGTCATATATAGTATTCATGGACATAAGATGTTGAGAACACATGTAGGTATTTTTCCTTATTCACTAATATATATGACAAATGCTAAATAATTTCATCACTGTAAAACCACTTGACACCCTACTTGAGATATTCAGTGACCATCAGTCCTCAACTGCTTACTATTTCCTGTCTTTAATTTCTTCTCTCCCTACATAACAGAAGCTGACCATTTGTGACTATACATTCAACATCGTATTGAACATTATCAACAACCATTCCATGTACACATGATTACAGTCTGACCTTTACTGGTCAACTTGAACCGGCTAACTTTGAGAGCACAGGAAGCCACACACAGGAAGCTGAACACATCAAGTCCGCACCAACTGTCACCTACTTGAACATATATGTACACGCATAAGCATAAGTGATACAAATGACAGCATTATACTTAAAATGGTGGTCAGTTTTAATGACTGGAGGAATGTGCTTTTAACAAACATAACACCTTACACTATTTCTTCCAATCACAGCCGTTACATGTCTCTTGAGTTACGGCCCGGCTCAGCGAGCAAGCGATTCTGCTGTTAGTGCACAGACAGCTCCCCATTCACGCAATAATCATATACGGGCCCACATGGCGCAGGAATTGTAACAGCTAAAGCCGTTTATTGTTGACAGATATGTAAAATAAATACTCAGAACTTCGGAGTTGGTCCTTGTGTACAAAATGACAGCGTATTTTAAACTGGATAGTGATTTGATTTAACAAAATGTGCTCTGATCTATCTTTTGACCTAATAAATAGCAGCTAAATTCCCCCTCACAGTGTGATATTAAATCAACGTTGAAAAGAGATTTTGCTGTGTGAACACTCGAGTCGGCAAACTCATAAAATAATTGAAAATTAATCACAGACCACTAAGGT